TGTCATATCTTACACTGGCAAATATATATATATTTTATGGAATAAGGAGGTGGGGCTGGATGATTACCAAGTTCCTTTAGGTACAAAACTTCTATACCCTTATGCACCTTGAAAAATGATGATGAAATAAGTGAAAAATCTGATTATTCAGTACCAAGAGAACAAACACACCAACTAAAACCTATTAAAAAAAAACATAACCAAGTGATATTATTTCAGAAATGTAGGGATGGTTCGGCATTAGGAAATCAATGACTGTCATATAACACATCAATAAAACAAAGGAAAGAACAATTCATTCACTACGGATGCAGGAAAAGCATCTGATAAAATCCAACATTTTTCTTGGTGAAAACTGCAAAGAAGACTGGGATAGAAGGGAAATTCCTCAATATGATTCAGAGGATATATAAAAAGCCAGCAGATAACTTAATAACAAAGACTTAGAGTTTTCGTCCTTAAAATTGAGAACAAGACAAAGGTGAATACACATATCACTTTTAGTGAACAGTTTGTTAGATGTTCTAACCAGTGCAGTAAGACAAGAAAATGTAGGTGCCCTCATGGCACAGTGGTTATGCAATGGACTGCTAACCACAATGTTGGCAGTTCAAAACCACCAAGTGCCCTGTAGAACAAAGATGAGGATGTCTGCTCCTATAAAAATTTATACCCTTGAACTCCTGTAGGGAGTCAGTTCGTCTCTGGGAGCTGTGAGTTAGACTCAACTCATACTCCTGTGAGTATGACTCTACAACAGTGGAAGAGGAAAAAAAGGACAGTAAAATGTAGTAACAGCTATCTAGCTTGACAAAGAAGTAAAATTCTCTCTATTCACAAATGATACGGTTCTATATATAGAAAGCTGCAGAGTTCACATGAAAATATCTACATCTAATTGAGAAATTCAGTAAAGCTGTAAGGTACATGGTCAACAAAAATTAGTTGAGTTTCTTCTATACACTAGCAATGAGAAATATGAAAGGGTAATTAGGAAACACTTCTGTTTACAACAGTATCTCAGAGTAAACTACCTTAAAATAATTAGACTTGTGAAGGATTTATATGATGAAAACTGTGAAGAAAAAAAAACTACTGAAAGAGATTACCAAAAAAAAAACCAAAAAAAAAACCAAAACCCCACTCCAACTCATCTTGACTCTATATTGGACAGACTAGAACTGCCCCACAGAGTTTCCAAGACTGCATAGTTTTTATGGAAGTAGACTGCCCCATCTTTTGGCCAGGGAGGGATTGGTGGGTTCGAACTGCTGATCTTTTTGTTAGCAGCAGATCATTTAACCACTGTACCACCAGGTCTCTCTGAAGCGATTAAAGATGTTCCATGTTCATGGATCGGAAGACTTAATATTGTTATCATGTCAATACTATCCAAAGCAATATACAGATTGAATATAATTTTAATAAAGCTCCAACAACCTTCTTTATAGAAATAGAAAAGCCAATCTCAAACTTCATATGGCAAGAGGCTAGAAATAGCTAAAACTATGTTGAAAGAGAACAAAGTAGAAAAATCATAGTTCCTGATTTAAAAACATACTACATAACTTCAATAATCAAAACAGTCTGGTACTGGCTACCACTAGACACATAAAATAGAATAGTATTGAAAGTACAAAAATAGCCCCCCCCCCCCACCTCTCTGGTCAACTGACTGATTTTTTTACAAGGACACCAAGTTCATTTAGAGGGGAAAGAAGAGTCTCTTCAATAAATGGTGCTGGGAAAATTGAATTTCCACATGAAGAAAATGAAGCAGGATCCTTGTTTCAAACTATACACAAAACAAGTAATAAGTAAGGAAATAAATAAAGGAACTAAATGTGCAAACGAAAATCCTAAAATTATGAAAAAAAAAGCATATGCAACACTACCAGGCTAACTCTCAACAATGGATTTTCAAATATAATAAATAGCAAAAGACAAATCCCAAAAGGAGAAAAGACAGGGTGAATATCTTTGTAAACCATATATTCAATCAGAATCTAATAACCAAAATATATGTACCACAATAAAAAGACAAATAATGCAATCATACAATGGACAAAGAGTAGACATTTCACCAAAAAGGCCATCAAACAAAGGAAAAGTCATCAGAGAGGTAGCTACAAATCAAAACCACAAACCACAATGAGTTATCATTTCACTTCCAACTGGATGGCTACCATCAACACACCAACCAAACGACAACAGCAAAGAAAAACTAAAGGGGAAACTGGAATCCTTATCTACGGCTGGTGGGAATGCAAAATGGAATAACCATTTTGGAAAACAGTGAAGTGGTTTCACACACAAAAAAGAACTATCACACAACCCAGCAATTGCACTCCCAGATAGATCAAAAAGAATCGAAAGCAGGCTCAAAAAGAAACTTGTACACCAAAGTTCACTGCAGAACTATTCACAGTAGCCAAAAGGTGGAAACAACCTACCTGCCCATGAGCAAGTAACGGACACACAAAATTTGGAATATCACTCACACAGTAGGAGAGTTTGAAGCCTTTATACATTCTACAATAGGGATGGCACTGGAAGACATGATACTGAGTGAAATACACCCTTCACAAAAGAAGAAATATTGCATGGCCTTGCTTAGATGAAAAGACAAGAAGTGGCAAATGTATAGAGTCCAAAGCTTATGGGTGGTTAAGAGGACTGGGAGTGGGTGAGTGGAAAGGGAAACGATCTAGGAAGGTCCTCTAGGAGGGCAAGAACCAAAGAAGGTTGAGAACTACTGGTCTAGGGAGTGAAGGTGGTTCATTAAAGTCGCATGGTTATAATGGTTTAATAAAAAACAAAGCCCTCAAGTTCATCTTTATAAGTAGGTATTTATTTCACTGAGCACCTCCTCTCCGTGACAGGTACTGAGATAGGGACCTACCGTACTTTGGTCCAGATCCTTTATTGCCACTATTTTATGAAATCTCACGGGGTGAGATCATTCTTAATGTACTGGTTAGGAGACTGATGATAAGTGATCTTAAAATATTTCCCCCACGGTCACGGGGCTCAAAGCAACTACGTTAAAATAACTAGAATCCAGGCCTGATTCCCTAGCCCATACTCCTTCCACTCCCCCGTTCTGTTTTCCATCAAATAATGGGTATTTGCAGTATGTCTTTTCAGTACTGCACCCAGCCGGCTTGTCCTTGGCTATTAAAAAGCGCTACATTTCTACAAGGTCAGCACACAGACACTACATTATCGGTGAAGATAGAGATGCACCATTTGCTTCTCTTTTTAAGAACTAACTTTAAACAAACAGGTAGTTCGTCATCTTGGTACAGGAGGGCAGCGTTTAAGAAACTGGGGCCCCGCCTGGGTGCAAATGTCCGAATGAGAATCGGTGGAGCAAGCACCGAGGGACCCTCACCCCAGTCTCTAAGGATCGCTAGGGCCCCTCTCCCCGCGCTCCGCGCAGTAACCGTGGCGGACCAGTCCGCCCAGCGGGCGCAGGAAGGGCGCACGAGAGCGTGCGGCCCGGGAGAGGGTCGCAGCCCCGGGGACGCCAGAGACACCACCACTCGCAGGCGAGGAGACGCAGGAGGCAGCCCTCGCGGGCCAGAGCCCCGGCGCACACGCCCGGGCTCGCCCACTCACTTTTTTGATATTGGATTTGGAGGCGGGATGAAAGTCTTTCTTGCACATGAAGTTGGCGAAGGACTTCCCCATCTTGGAGTCCGAACCGGGGAAGGCAGCCTCTCTCCGATCGGGGACCGAACGTAAACAAACTTCGCCGCCTAACCGGAATGGCGCTTCCGGCGAACGCGGGAACTTCCGGGGTCAAAGGTGACAGCTTCCGGTGTCGCGTCGCGGCCGTCGACGCCTCGCCCCTTCCCCTCTGCCCGAGGGAAAAGCTCGGAGGCCAGGTGAGGGGCGGGCGTCGGGGGCGGGGCGTGCATAATGAGCCCGGGAGAGAGGACGGCCCGCCTGCCCCGCGGCGCTGCGGGGTGGAGGGGCTTTGGTGGCGCGGAGGCGTTTGCTTTCTGACGCCGCGTCCTGCGAGCCACACAACTGTTCTGCGTCGGCCGACTCACCTGTGCTGTGAACGCTCACTCTAACACAACCTGTGGGCGAGGAACACGCGGGACGTTTTGTACACCCTGGGTGTCTCCTCGGGGCAGACCCCTGCTGCAGGGCACTTGCCACAGCGTTGAAAATGCGTGTGTGTTGTTAGGTGCGGTTGTAAGTTAATTCAGACTCATGGTGAGCCCAAGGGTCAAAGAATTTTCCAGGCCATAATTTCTCCTGGGCAGATGGTCAAGTCTTCCTCCCCAGGAGCCACTAGTATCGTGGCCTGCCAACTTAGAGCTGAAAGCTTAACCACGGTGCCCCGGGGGCTCCTTTGAAAACACCCCCAGCGACCGGATAGGACAGAGTGGAACTGCCCCATAGGGTGATAAGTCTTTACAAAAGCAGACTGCTGGTGAAAATGCTTGGGAGTTCGTTAACAAATTACCAAAAGGTTCTCAGGACTTCCCCTCCTCAATGGGCTCCAAGCCTGAATAATTTCTACAATTCCAGGTAGACAACTGAGGTCACCCAATGTAGTTTGATGGTCCCTGGGACCCCAGGGTTTTCAGAGGCGACCTACCTCCCCATGTCACAAATAAGCCCTTTCTGAGGACTTAATTTTCTGTCAGTTAACAAGAGCAACTCTCAAGTGTCTAGTATGTTCTATATGCACAGTGCAGAATCCTTCAATATTATTACATTCTCATCAGAGCCTCAAGAGATAGAATCTTTTATTAGTGATGTAGGGGTCATGAAGAGGGAGATTAAACACAAACCAAACTCACTGCCATTGAATCAATCTGACTCCCAGTCACCCTGCAGGACAGAGTAGAACTGCCCCTGTGATTTTCTGAGACTCTCTTTCCGGGAGTAGAAAGCCTCCTCTTTCTCCTGCAGAGTGACTAGTGGTTTCAAACTGTTGACATTGCAGTTAGCAGCCCAATGCATAGCCATTACTCCCCCAGGACTCCTCTAGATTACACGGCACCTGAAAATTATGCAGTGGTTATGGAGCTAAAGGAAACAAAAGTAGAAGAATTCGGGACATAAAGTACAAACTGAAGAAAAGCAAAGCAAGAAAAACCCTTGAGTTGCAGGCTGGAGTTGATTCTTATTTGAGTAACTTTCCTTTCTTTTTAGTGAAAGGTTAGATTTAAAATTTCCCCCAAATATTGCTGGCATCTGCCAATATAAGGTAATGCTAGGATTCGGTGATTATAAAAAAATGGGACTAAACCAGAAGCCAAACTTGCCGCCATCGAGTCTGTGCTTTCAAATGGTTGATCATGGGGATCACAACCCAACCAGTATGTAACCACTACACACTATGGCCCTAAAGTAGTTTCCTGTCCTGGCAACAATATTAAAAGTATAAGACGCTGAATGAAGTGTGCTACTAATATTTAGGATTTAAAATTTTCGAAATTTGAAATAAAACATAACACACTCAGTTCTATAACCAAATTATGAATACAAATGCTCTCTTAAAGATACCAATAACTTGGAATGTTACTATCTTTGTAGCTGTCTTCATCATTGAATCTCTTTCACAACTTCAGTTTTGCCAGTCTTATAATCTTCATTCTTCTCCAACTCAAATCAGACTTCTTTCCTTTGCGTAAATACTGGGTTTATAGGATTTCCCCCTAACATGAGTTCCAGCATTGAAAATGTAAAGGTTCATCAGACACTTAACTCCTCGCTCTCAAGGACCTCACTGTCCACCACACATAGGCATAGTAAAAAATTATTGCTCTAAAATCATGGAAAGCTTCATTAAGCAAAAGTACCAAAAAGTGAAGCTATTGTTTCTTGATATATCTATCCTCCAATTATGTCTATACACTATCTATACACCTTCCGTTTCTCTAACCCTTCCCTGTGTTGGGCTGCTAACCTCCTGGTTGGCAGTTCTAATCTATCAGCTAGCTGTTCCGAAGGAGAAAGATAGTCTCAGAAACCCACGAGATAGTTCTACTCTTTCCTACTATGACCATGGGTCATAATTAACTTAATGGCTGTGAGTTTCTTGTTTTGGTTAACCCTCTCCTGAAGAACTATGCTCTCCTATTTATACCAGGCCTAAACGGCAGTTCTGGCATACTCCAGAGTCTGAAATCAAATTTCTTAATTTTTTTTTAAATCTGGGAAACAAAAGTCTGTAGGGGCAAGATTAAGGCTATAGGGTGGCAGGGTAATATTTCTCAATGAAATTATCATAGGACAGCCCTTGATATCGCCAGCTTTCATAAATCTTCTTGACAATAAACTCCCATGATTATCTTCTGTCCTTTGCGAAAATATATCCAGATTGCTCCTTTGACATCTCCAAAAGTAGTCATCATAACCTCTCTGCCCTGGATTTTATGGGTTGAGCAGATCTCAGGAGTCACTGTTTCGATTGGCCTTGGCTTTCTGCATCAGATTGGTCCATAGTTACCAACTGCTAACAGAGGTAGGTGGTTCAAACTCACCAACCATTCCACAAACTTTATGGGGCATTTCTACTCTGTCTTGTAGGGTCAGCAAGTTGGAATGAACTAGACAGTAATGGGGCTTTTAAAAAATCTTTCTGACCACAGATCACCAAGCCTTTCAGCTGCTATGTGTCTAGGCAATGGCGGTCCCAAATATGGACTAAGGAAAGGAGAATCAGGCGATAGACTTTAAAAGAGAAAGATCTTGGAGGATAAATGTGGCCTATACCGTAGGAGAAGGAACTTCTCATTGCCATTTTCTTAATTGGTTCTTGTGTTGTTAAGATTCAGTCCAGTCAGTTCAGGCTCATAGCGACCCTCTGTACAACAGAACGAAACCTCACCCTGTCCTGTGCCAAAAAAATTGACTATTGCATGTGTTAGACAGGGTTCTCTAGACTCTAGAGACTTGGCAGTTCTCATCCTGTGGGTCACGGCCCCTTTGGAGGTCGAACAACCCTTTCACAGGGGTCACCTAAGACCATCAGAAAACACACATTTCTGATGGTCTTAGGAACCAAGACACCGCTCCTCTATCTGTCTCCAGGCAGGTCTGCCCACAGGCAGATGTGCCCATATCCGAGTACCCAGCGTGAAGACTGTTACCCATGCTACACCATGCTTTAAGACAGAATTTCATTGATTTGTCATTAGGAATAAATATTTCACAATATATAATTACATATTGTTTTTGTGATTAATCATTATGTTTTAATTATGTTCAATCTGTAACAATGAAAACATCCCGCATATCAGATATTTACATTGCAATTCATAATAGCAAAATTCCAGTTATGAAGTAGCAACAAAAATAATTTTATGGTTGGGGGTCACCACAACATGAGGAACTGTATTAAACGGTCGCGGCATTAGGAAGATTGAGAACCCCTGCTCTAGAGAAACAAAACCAGGACACTTATGAATATATATATATATGGAATCTAACAGCTAATTAGTCCACACAGCAGTACAGAGGGCTCCTCAGTTCAACTCACTTCTATGGAACAGTTAATATACTGGAAGTCCTTCAACTCATGAGGGCTGCTGGGTCCAAGGTCAAGGAAGCAGATAGTTGATTCCCTAGGGCAATGCAGGCAGTCCAGCCACAGGCAGCAAATAACAAGGCCAGTTACCAACAGTCAGCATTTCAGGAGGTTAGGGAAGCAGGCCTGGGTGGGATATTGAACTCAAGCAATGCAAGACAACAGGATCCGGCAGCCTCGAACTCAAGCAATGTACACACCAGTAGTACACACCAGCAAACAGTTCTCGAAGGAACCTCCAGCTCTAGCAACACTATCCACGGGTTGGCTGCCCCACAGGTGTGTATTTCACAAGTTGTGGCAGAGAACTAGCTAAAGCAGCCGCTTGTTGGTCTGATTACCAGAGAGCAAGAGAGAGAGAGAGACATGGGCCTGGCTGGGCCATTTATCTCTTTGCCCTCCAACCAAACTGTGACCTTAACCCCACATGTTCCTATTGGCCAGGTTGGCACAATAAACCTACCTGTCACATGGTAGTACAATATTAATTCCTAAGCAATTTTCTTAATGATTTTTGTTCCATAGTGTATAGGGTTTAGAACTTTTATAAGTACTCATTATTAGATACAGTAGTACTACACCATGGTAAATTCTTATATACGTACTTAAAACTCTATTTTCTTTTGAAACATACGTACAGTGTTTAGGTTTTATCAAACAGCAGCATGGAGCCTTGTTCCTGTGACACCTTCGTGGCATTACCTCCAGCAACAGTTGATAGCAGCATTATTTTTGGAAAAAATTCAGATAGACTCTGTGATGAAGTACAGGAGGTTGTTTATTTTCCTGCTGCAGTTCATAATAACGTGGGAGAGCGTCTGAAGGTAAGTGAAAGGCATGTCGTTAGTAACATTTCTTGAATGGGTTACTTCCATCAGGAGCTAGCTACTTGGCAGACACTTGTTCTCTTCCAGCTGCCATCCAGTTGGCCCCTCCCTCAGGGCGACGTCATGCAAAAAGCAATGAAGCACTGCTATGGTCATTGTAGATTGGACTGTTGTGACCCGCTGGGTTTCTGTTGGCCCATTTTCCAAAGTAGAGTGCCAGGCCTTTCTTCCTAGTCCACTTAGTCTGGTTTCAGCAGCCTAGCAACATGCAACCCTCCACTGACAGATGAATGAGGACTACCCATCAGGTGCATTGGCTGGGAATCAAACCCAGTCTCCTGAATGGAAGGTGATGATTCTCCCACCAATCCTTCAGTCTCTCACTGGCAGAGATGATCGAAATTAAAAAGTCACTAATTTAAATTAGAAAATGAATTTGAATCAAAAATGTACTTCAGGTCTTTTAATTCTATGTTTTGAAGGAAACTGAAATAACAATCAAGTATTTGAACAAGCATTTGAACAAGCATCACCGTATGCCAGCATATCAGATAAAGCAAGGGATGCAGATCCCTGTCAAGACCAACCGTCTGTCTTCCACAGGGCTTCCAACCAGTTCACTCCATTTGACTCCCTGCTGGAAATTTGCATTTGCATCCCAGATACACTGAATCAAAATCTATGTTTTAACAAAATTCTCTCTCGTGAAACATAAGAATCACCCAGGGATTATAATAATCATTTGGGGATCTTGTTAAACTATGCATCCTGATTCTGTAGAAAAGCGCGTTCTCACCAGGGGATCTAACTGGAAAGAATCCGTTCTGAGCCCTGGTATCCCCAGAGCTTAGAGGCTAGTAGCAGAATAGCATGTGTGTGTAACTAACACGCAAGGGGACAGCCTGCATGTTAAATTTAAGTAAGAGCTGTCTGCTCTGTGAGAGCATAGAAGGAGCCAGGAATCAGAGGCTGCACCAAGGAAGGTTTCTTTAGCATATGGCCTTTCAGCTGGAGTTTGATGAACATAAGGATTCAGCTTGATGTAGAAAAGGAAAACCAGACCAGTCTCCGGGAATAGCAGTAGCACGACTCATGAAACAAATATCTTATTAGGCCTAGTGAGAACAAGTCAGTGTACAGCTTTTGTACTTCTTTGGTGGTATACAGATAATGAAACCAAAAACCAAACTCGCTGTCATCGAGTCTATCCTGACTCACAGGGACCGTATAGGACAAGGTAGAACTGCCCCTGTGAGCTTTGGAGACTGTCAGCTTTTTCCCCCCAACAGCTTTATTGGGATGTAGTCCACATATCATACAATTTAATAGTTCAATCGTTCAATCATATCAAGGAAAATTATACAATCATTACCCCATCAATTTTAGAGCATCCCACCCCCACCCTCCATGGTTACATCGCCTTTAAGCTGAGTTATGCAATCACAGTCCATTCTGATGTACCCTCCCCACTCCTCCCTTCAATACTTACTCTCAAAATCCCCTTTCCCTCCCGTCCTCCCACCCTCACCCTTGTATTCCCTATATCCCCTTGTTGCAGTTATTGTCATTATGCATCCATTCCTCTCGTGCTTCACCGCTGGGAGAGCCAACAGAAAACAATAAAAAACCACATTGGACTAAGGTGGTAGGATAAAGTCATAATGGTACAAAAACAAAGATACAAATAATGTGTTAGAAGGAAAAGACCCACATAAACATTCAAAAAGCCAAGGGAGAAATTTCTGCTATGGAACCAGTAAGAGATACTTGACCCCGCCCCCCCAAATAAAAGTCACATCTATAGGGTGGTCAACTGGCCAAGTGTCGAGTTCGATCCAGCAGAGTCAAGATCACAGTGGTCTCTGCCTGAGAGTATGGCTGAGGCTCTTGGCTGTGCCTAGAGCGGATCATCCAGAGGCTCAGTCTGACTAGATGCTCTGAGATGGCTTTTGGATTTCCACTGCCCCCCAGAGCCCTCCACCAATTGGGTGTTCATGATTTTAGCTCTGATGCTTTCCACCTCACCATATTCATATTTTGTAGTTATCATCTTTGGATCATAAAAGCTGGCTGCTTATTTGAGTACAAGCCTTTAAGACCCCAGACACTATTCCCAATTGTTAGCCGGCACCATTTTCTTCAGACTGTCAATCTTTATGGGAGTAGAAAGCCCAGTCTTTCTCTGGTAGAGTAGCTGGTAGTTTCAAACTGCTGACCTTGCAGTTAGCAGCCCAATATGTAACCACTATGCCGCCAGGACTCCTACACAGATAATTAAGGGAACCTTTAAAATAATTTCATAGAAAAAAATATGACATGGAACTTAAAGTGAAAATTTCATACTATGCTTCTATTGATAAGTGATGTACTTTTTAGATTTTATCGTATTGATATTCTAATGTTAAACTATATTACATATTAGATTGAAAAATATTAGGTCATACATATTTTATTTTTTCCTAAACTGTAAATCTGGGATACTATTTCTATTAGAAAAACAACAACAATTCTGGTAGCGCTGTCAGGTAAGCTTTGGACTGCTAATCCTGAGCCTGTGGTTCAAACCCACTCTCTATTCTGTGGGAGCAAGATAAGACTGTCTGCTCCTGTAAAGATTTACAGCCTTAGAACCCAATACAGGGCTGCTATGAGTTGGAATCAGCTTGATGGCAGTGCGCTGGGTATTTCTTCTTAATATCTTTGTATTAAATCTAGCTTATTTTGTAAGCCAGTGGCTCTCATTCTTTTTGCTAATGCTGACGTACCTAATAGGTGACTTTATCATATGTCAGAGACTTCTATGGCAATACCCTTGTATTTAAGGGGACACATGTGTACTTCTACCACTAACCAAGGAAAAATAGACACCAAGGTTAAGAAATACTTTCATAAACATCAACTCACATCCATCTTCGTCTGCACATTTCACAACATTTCACAACTAGATATCATCCATCCATGAGTTTCTATACTACTAGATCTGTACTTCTCTTTAGGGCCCTTATATACAGCTTTAGTTGTATCTAGGTTATTGTGCAAGTTTTAGTTTCTAGAAAGCAAAAATCTATATTTGACTCATTTTTTTTCATCTTTGTAAGTAACATATCTCTCCAAGTGCTTTATAATCAGAGATTCCACGGATATTTGAATGAATGAATGCATTGGGGTCATCCTTCATATGAGAGGGCTTCAAAAGGTTCATGGAAAAATGGAATTAGAGGATAGTAGAGAAGCCTCATATGTGTTTTGTGGGTGATGCCTTTACCATTTAAAATTTCAAATGTAGTTTTATTTCCTATACTTAAAAATAAATAAATAATGGCCATGGTTTCTGATCGATTGTTTTACATTCTGGATTTTGTTTGTCTGCTTGTTGCGCTGACTTTCTTTACAGTGTACGTATATAGAAATTGACCAGGTTCCTGAGACATGTGCGGTTGTGCTTAGTCGGCCAGCATGGTTGTGGGGGGCAGAAATGGGAGCCAATGAGCATGGAGTGTGCATTGGGAATGAAGCTGTCTGGGGAAAAGAAGAAGTCTGTGATGAAGAAGCACTGCTGGGCATGGACCTTGTCAGGTTTTACTTTTCTATTAACACTCTTGTACCATAAAACTTACCTACATTTTAAAGTGACTTTTACACTTTCCCATTATTTATTTATTGGTTTTGATGCATTGTAATCTGAGTCCAAGAATACTCCAGATTATATGTATCCAGTTTTAAGGTTCAAATGTCATTCATTGGGAGGAAGGAATTAGAAGTTATAGTTCATTAGAAGTAAATAAGGTACTTTATTATATAGTAGCTTAGTTAATTGTCACATTATCCTTATTTTACAGATGAGCTGTCTGTGGCTCAGAGACAAAGTAGCTTGCCATACATAAGGGGGCTTCAAAAGTTCATGGAAAAATAAAGCTAAAAAGATAATGGAATTTTTTCACACCTTTTAAACGTCCCTTTGTCTTCCAAACTCAAACTCAGTGCCATCGAGTCATTTCTGACCTACACTGACCCCATAGTACTGATTAGAACTGCCCTAGTCGGTTTCCAAGACTGTAACTCTTTATGGGAGTAGAAAGCCTCATTTTTCTTCCATGGAGTGGCTGGTGATTTTGAACTGATGACCTTTCAACTTGCTGCCCATCTCATAACTCCCTATACTACCACGGCTCTTCAAATTACTAAATTTGAATTTTCACATCATTCGACTCCCCTAGCTTTGTTTGTCACGATTTCCTACTGATTTTAGAAAGCAAAGTGTAATCGTTAGACTTCAGTTTATCTTTTAATTTAAAAGAAACTTTACTTTGAAGGCAAACACAAAATCTTCTGAGCATGAAATTACTTAAGAAAAATAATGGATGTTTATTTTAATCTGAGAACTTTTTCCTTTTCAATTTTAGGCTTGGCCTCGAAAGAGCTGATACAGCCGAAAAAGCCGTCAATGTCATTGTTGATTTATTAGAAAAATACGGCCAGGGTGGAAATTGTACGGAGGGTAGTATGGAATTTAGTTATCACAACAGTTTCCTGATAGCTGATAGAAAAGAAGCCTGGATTGTGGAGACCGCAGGGAAGTACTGGGCAGCGGAGAAAGTACAAGGTACAGAAAATTTTCTGTGATTTCATTTGTTTTGCAATAACAAAATACCCCTGCAAGTAAAGAAAGTGCATTGTATAGTTTTTCAAGATTTATCATCTAGTTCAGTGAAGGATTGGGCTGCAGGGGCAGGGGAAGAAGAGCGTCTAGTGCAAGAACACTGTCGAGAACTTTTTTGAAAGAGAAAAAGGGGGGTCATCAGTGGGAGGGCACATTTTGTACAACCCACATATGGCTTCTCTGCAACAGGTCTCCGCTGTTTCATAGTGTTTGGGGACTGCTTCATAACTCTTTACCATTTCTTCTTCTTTTCACTTTGGGCTGAGCTCCAACATTTTGCCCTGAATAGATTAAGAGGCGTGGAAAGGAGAATGGAGCCATACATTGTTGTGTGTGCACTGGTGTATAGCTTTTGCCTGTATATAAATGAAAACATAGCATTCTAATAGCATTGAGTAAAGCAAGGCAATTTTACTGTTTAGAAGGCTCTTCTTTTCTTTTTTGTCTTCTTATTCCATGGTTTCTTTGTGTTCGTATGTTTTTTTCATTTGTCAAGCAAGGAAATACAGAAATGTAAAGTGGCTAACTCAAAGCATATGAATGAAAGACTTGAAATTCAAGTCTTTCGATCCTGACTCTCACCAGTGTTCCTGCACTATAGCACAGCGTCGGGTTTAAGTGCATAGCAGATGCCTCCTGTGTGCTTGTCTCCTGGACTCTCCAGTTTTACTAGTCAGAAGACAGGTGAAATTGTTCCATGCACATGAACAAAACCTGTGATGATACAGACATGTATTATACTATAGTTTTGCAAGCTGTTACCGTTGTGGAAAACTGGATAAAGGAAGCTCAGAATCTCTCTGCATGGCTTCTTACAACTACATTATGAATCTCAAAATAAAAAGCCTAATTAAAATGTAATTCCTTTATCATCTTGACTCTGCAATACATATACACATGGCATAAAATTTAGAAGTCTTGATATATGCTTAAACAATAATTAAGAATCACTTAGCAAGAGATACCTCATGTTAAATATGACCTTTCTTGTTTCTTCTCCTCCTCATTGAAAACAGAGGGAGTTCGTAATATTTCTAACCAGCTTTCTATAACAACCAAGATTGACCGGGAGCATCAGGACATGAGAAACTATGCTAAGCAGAAAGGCTGGTGGGATGGTAAAAAGGAGTTTGATTTTGCTGCAACCTACTCCTATCTTGACACAGCCAAGATGCTGACTTCATCAGACAGATACTGTGAGGGCTATAAGCTTCTGAATAAACATAAAGGTAATTTCACCATTTAAGTAATATCAGAAAGAAAAATTACAGTGTGCCTCGGTATAATGTGAGAATGATAAATGTATTTTCCGGAATTATCCTTAGTAAAGGTGAGTCAAAAAAGAACTCAGAACACTGTTAACAGACTGCTCTGCAGATTTAATACCCAAATTGCAACTGGGCAACGTATCATTTACTGAGTAAATGAGTACTCTGAAGAGTTCAAATTCATAAAGTGTTTATATACAAAGCTCCAAAAATGCTGCATGCAATTTCTGATTGGTTGACATTTAGGGAACTTTGTTAAACAGTTGCAAGACGGTCATAAGATCAGTGAGTGGAAACTGCAAGACTCCCGAAATTTTGATAACAGAATATGTTCACTAATCTTGAAAGTAAAATGCTATTAATGGTTTAAATTTTTAAAGCTATTTTAATGTTATTGTTGAGACTATACACAGTAAACAAACACCAATTCAAGTTTTTCTGTATAATTTCATGACATTGATTACGTTTGCCATGGTGTGCAACCATTCTCACTCTCCTTTTCTGAATTGTTCCTCCCCCGGGAACGTAAATTCACTGCCCCCCTCACCCCGCCCAGGTGCCTATCTACTCTTTTGAGTTGCTGTTGTCAGTTTGATCCCACTGTTAGACACATCGGATAAGACCACAGAAGAGGAGATAAAAAAGGTGGTACCCTTCACAATAGCCAAACACAAATAGAAATATCTAGGGATATACCTGACTAAAAGAACAAAAGATCTATATGGGGAAAACTACAGAAC